GGGGATGCCCCCACAGCGAGGGAGGGAGTGGGGCAGGGGCAGGCGCTGCCCAGCCAGGGCGGCGAACAGGACTGGTGCAGAGCTGCGGGTCCAGCATTTTAATTTACAGCAGGATACATTATTTTCCTTTTCTCAAAGATCTTGGCTGCTGCAGACATTGTTGACTGAATCTCTCTCAGTGCATACCCCACAGCACAGGGTGTACATCACAACATTGAACCAGCTTTGCTGAAAATATCAGGCTGTAATGTTGTAGGCGTTTGGTTTGATGCAAAATAACTGAGCCAGCCACATGGCAGAGCAATACACAAGCAATCTGTAAGACCTCAGGCTTTGCTGCAGTTTGTGAAAGAAGGGCGAGTTAAGACCGTTTGCACTGCTTAGCACTTGTAGTGACGCCTGGCTCACGGCTCAGACGAACGCCAGCGACGGGAAGCATTAAGCCCAAACACAAACGTTTTGCTAACGGAAAAGAAGCTCGTCACTGTTATACACCAGCCCCATCGTGTGGCCACTCAAGAACCGGGACACACACAGTGGCCACAACGCTACGTTAAATCCTTGGGTGATACAGGAGGAGGTTGAAGTGACATGAATTTTAAAGAACACAAAGTGGCAAGGGGATAAGCAGAGACAGACATGGTTAAAAAGAAATGTGTGTCTGTGAAATGATCCCAGGAGCAGGCCAGGCAGACTACCCAGAACAATGTTATAAAGGGAACGGCTTGGGCCCAGCGGTTGCATCTGGACCTCAAAGACGGGAACGTACTCAATGCCGTACTTCCATTTCATACGGAAAAATTTGACATCAAAATGCCACCAAAATGAACGGTCAGCACCAGCAAAGTGCTGCATATAATGAAAATGAAGTCGCCCTTATTGAGGCCGATGGTGCCAAGTGCCCTCAACTGTTCAACAGCCAAGACAGGAACTTCAGCATCCCGAAGGACCTGACCCAGAGGGCGTCATTAGCCTAAAAGTTCAAGCTAGACAGGTTTTGTTTTAAATGTCATAGCACAAGCTTTGCCTCTGCTTACAGTCATGAGGTGCGAGTTGATTGACAAACCATCTAACATGCAGGAGAAGTATTTGAAATTAAAAATTACAGCCCCCCCTGCCCCCCTCCAAAAAAGTCACTGTTGCGCAGGCTCGTGTCTGCTCTCATATATGTCAAATGGGACAGGTTTGCAAGGCAAAGATCTGTGGTTAAAAGGGTTTACAGAACATCTGCTACAATATCAAACTTGGCTTAACATTCTTGCTGTATTGTGAACGTAGGAAAAGCCACACATTTGTTCCTGAAGTTTCTGCAACAGCTCCAGAGCCCTCGATACTGCAGTTTCTTTGACTCACGAATGGAAATGTGAGGTTTATCTTTTGGATATGGCAGGGCAATTTTCAAACTTCAGTGCCACAGAAAGTGTTTTTGACCACACAAGGTACAGAACAGTACAGAGTTAAATACAACCAAGAGAGTCCATTCAATGCTGGGTCACTCGCCCCTGCAACGTGATCATCTCTATCCAGATAATAGGTTCAGGACGGAAGACAGCAGCCGCTGTTTCTTCTGCATTAACCATGGGCCCCAAATCTCTTCTGGAGGATCCTCCATCTAGGAACAAACATGCTCTGTTGTCAGGTGAGTCCTCTAGGTCCCTGCAGGGTGGATACCTTATGACCCGCAAACTTGACTGAGACCTTAAGCTCATCTCAAGGCAGGTTGGGTGACTTGAAAAGAACATGATTACTGTTAAAAGCAGATAGATCAGAGTGAGCAAATAAATAAATTATTAATCCCCATACCAAGTTGCTGTGTATGGCCAACACACAGTTCAATGACAGCACTTATCCAGAGACTAACAGGAAAAAACTGGTTACACGTTCCAAAAATAGAGAGAAATACAATTAATGCTCTTCACCAAGATGTACTTTTCATGTATATTATGATAATAACCTGAAGTTTCTTCAGATCAGAAACAGGCTATTTTTTCAACTCTTTTTCAGCTCTATTTGTGTATTTATCAAATAACGTAGTGCGTGTAACAGACTGCCAATGTGGGCTCACCAGATCGGCTTGAGATACTTACCCTGGGCTAGCAGCAGTGCCGGTGAACTTGGAGCCAGCCCAAAGGTGGAGCAGGGGAGCCCTGCCCCGTGGAGAAGCAGCCAGCGGAAAGAAGGGGTTTTCAATCCCCTCATTCGCATGGAAGAGGGATGGCCGGGGTTGGGGGCCCGCCCCCCTGAGCTGGGGTTGCCCAGTTTGCAAGCCAGGGAGGGACGGCCGGAGGGGATAAAAGCAGCAGCTGAACTGGCATGTGGGAGTTGCTGACAGTGACTCCAGGGAACGACGCAGGAGGCCCAAGAAGAGCTGGGGTGAGCTGACCCAGCAGAGAGACCCCTCCAAAGAGCCTCGAAGGCCCTGGGAGAAGGAGGCACCAGCGGTCAGCCATGCCTCCAGCCCTGCAGCAGAGAGGGAGCAGCGGCCAGGGCTTGGGGTGGAGAGCTGGTGCCCTAAGCCCCATCACAGCGTGCTGGGCATCTCGGAGGCTAGCGGTGGCAGTCGGCCCCCCACTCCACTGCAGAGAAGAGGCAGTGGCCAGGAGCGCAGGCGGCATCCTCATCCGGAGCAGGGAGCTGGGCCAGTGAGTTGAGGAAATCCCTTACCTTCCTTGGGGACGCGGGACAGCAGCAGGCAAGGCACTGGGATCCTGAGGAGCAGCAGAGCGCCAGGATGAGAGTCCCCGGGAGCTCAGGGCGCAGGCTGGCGCTCGGAGCAGGACTGGCGAGCCGCGAGGCGTGTGGGGTGCCTGCCCAGTCATCTGGAGCAGGGGTTTAGAGCAACAACCCCTGGGAGCTGCCTGTGCTGCTGACCCTCTGCCACCGACTGCCCCAGAGGGGACTCAGTCCTGTCCCTTATTCTGCCACTGATTGTCATCAGATGGAGTCCCTGAGCTTTGTGCATGGGTCATGCTGATGGCTGCAGGAGCCTACGTTGTTGCTTGCCTTTTTGGTTGCCATGGAGGGTCACCCTTCAGCCTCTTTGGGGGGCTGGGGTTTGATACAATTTGATTGCTGCAGACCAGAAGAGCTTAACCTGTTGCAGTCTGTTGCTTATCGGGAAGCCTGCTGGAGCTGCGGGGAGCGAGCACCTTGCTTCCTTGTGGTAGCACCTCAGCAGTGGCTGAAAGCTGCCAGTTACCCGACCTGTGGCTCTTGAGTCAAGGGTTGACTAATGCATTCTGGTTTGTTTTGCTATTTAAGTTCACTTGTAAATAATCTTTCCTATTAATCCTGTTTCGTAAATAAAGTGCAAATAGTTAAATCAGTTAAGTGTTAGATTTTCTTGGGACCATGGACTGCTCTGTGGGGAGAAGGGGCAGGCTGGAAAGTAAATTGGTGCTAGCCAGAAGCCCTCCCCACTCTCACCCCACCACCCCTGATACTGGGCAGGGGTGGCAACTATTGGGCCGCCACCCGGGTTACACATGCATTGTATCACATGAATTTATTACTCATAACAAGATACAGGAAATGTACTGTTTTTGGTTCAACTGTACAGCATACAGATTTTGCTTTAAAAGAAAAAGTACATATGCACAGTAGGTCAAATGTACATTGATCTGAACATCTTGTTCATACAATAATACTGTATAAAACATGTTAATATATGGGCATGAGCTGCTGTTATTGCTGATGTCACTGTCTGGAAGAGTAATTTTCTTCTAAAATTAAAGTTTGCAGAACAAACAAAAATAAAGACACTGTGCAGAAGCAGCTCCGGATAACAGCATCCAGATTTGACAAGACTTCCACCTAGTCTTTTCACCTGTTCTCATTGCAGCTGCACCTCAAACATTTTCAGTTAAAAAAATACAGGAAAACCTTTTTGTAAAGTACACAGAACAACAGTAAGGCAAATGTATTTAACCTTTATGGTACAAAGGTCAATCCAAGGAACTCTAATAATCCTTCAGTGAGTTATACTGACTATTAATGCTTACAAGGTTTCAAACATATGCCTCTACACAAACACAAACGTTAATTTACCGATTCCAGAAAGTAAATCCTTCATTTTCAAAATGATCAAGTCATTGCTGCTCTATAAATACATCACAGCCAACCACATGCACAGGTGTGATAACTACTCCTTTCATTGTTCCTATTTAAGTACTCACCTACTGGCCAATTTCTAAAAAGTAACACTTGACACATCATAAAGATCAAAATGCTCTAAGGAACACACCACACACCACCCCCAGTCCTATCCTGCAGCACCGCTGTCTGCATGCCCTTCTGTCACAAATACTTAGCTTTGTTCACATTGCCCACTTTTAAAAATACCTCCTTAATAAGGCACTGGATTTGGGACAAGATTTTCAGAGGCATCAGACTTACAGTGGGAGTTAAGTCCCTGAACTGAGATACCTAATTCCAACTAAGATAATCAGCCAGCCATGGGTGCCTCTGAAAATCTGCCCCTCTCTCCCTTTTCCACAGGCAATGGGTGTTTCCTTACATTGCTACTGGAACTGAAATGCAAAAGTATGGGTCACAGCTTAACGGCACACCAGTATAAATGAGGCAAGCAGAGCCCTGAGAATCTTGTTCAGTCTGCTACCAGTGTAGGCAGCAGACAAAGCTAAAAAACACTGTTTTGTTGTATGGTTTACAAAAGGAAGTCAGAAGAAGATAGAGATCAGGAGGCGCGACTTCATGGTCAGGGCGGCTAGGATCTGGAACCAACTTCCAAGAGAAGTGGTGCTGGCTCCTACCCTGGGGGTCTTTAAAACAAGGCTAGATGTACACCTTGCCGGGGTCATTTGACCCCAGTACTCTTTCCTGCCATGGCAGCAGGTTGGGCTCGATGATCTGCTCAGGTCCCGTCCGACCCGACCAACTATGAAACTAAGAAGGCGGCAGAGGGCATTCTCCTTCGTCATAAAAAAAGCTAAGCAAGTCAAATTTTGGATCTAAACTACTTGACATTATTAGTCCTTTTTAACGCTCTCTATAAGCACTTCCATTTTACAAGTGCCTCTATGTTAAAACTCAGCACTTGAAGGCTATGTCTTCACATGGGAAAAAAATATACCGTTAGCACGTTAGCTACCACTTCTATGCTAGGACTATAGAACAGGTTAGCTGGAAAAACCAAGCAGGGTGCCTTGGATTGAATCTGACCAGCTAACACTTACTGGAAGTAGAACGGCTATTGATAAGGCGTTCGCCAACATCTCTGCTGGGCCCAGGTCTCTCGAGCTATACTAGTTAACACAGCCGAACTGGGGATGGGTGCTCAATTAAACTTGAAGTTTCTCAGCTTTTTAGTGTTGCAAAAGGTGCTGTCAGGGCCTGGAGAGTAGTTCTCTACCAAGGAGCAACAGAAATATGAGCATTCCTGTATTGCCATAGCAGGATGTCTCAGCCATGGTATGGCCAAACTACCTGCAAGAAAAAACCTTTTCTGTCCATTTAGCTCTTGGCTTCTGCGCACTGTAGGTATTTAAATAAAACAGAACAGAGATGTTTTGATTCCTTAAAAAGTAAGAGGTTTAGGATGCGTTTGTAATTAAAAATGTTTTGATTTCACATTTCTTTCTGGGCTTCAGCCAACTTGGGTGAAGTCAGTTAAAAACTATTGGCTTTAGGAGACTTGGTCCACATATACACTGACAATAAATAGTTCTCAAAATCGCTCAAAGGTTTCTCCCTGTTCCTGCTGAATTGTATTCTAGCGAGACAATCCCAGAGCAAGTGGCCAGAAGACCTCAGTGCTGATTTAAATGTACATTTGTGGAAAACTGCCTACTGGTATTATTTGGCAGCACAGTGCAGCAGTTACCAGGGTCGATTCAGTGCATTTTTAAAAACTTTCTTGATATCAGAATTACTCCATATTGCTTTCTTCAGTGTTTAGGCCAATGGTACATTTTAGGGACTTCTTACATCCCGTTTGGTAAGGGATGCTCTGAGAGACTGTCATATAAAATGGAGCAAAATATTAATCCCAGAGACCCTAACAAGCACATTTATTGGGAAGGGGATGAGGGGGGATGTTGAGCTACCCTTGATTGATAGAAAGTTAAAAATATAGCTCTAAACCACGTTAAGAGTATAGCACAGACCAAGATAAGAAGACATGCTCTTTACCTGCATATAGTCACCATACTACGTAGGAGCATATTATTCCAAGCTGTTCACGCTCACATCACGTTTCATAAGGAAAAAGCATCCTGGATTTTTACTACATATAAACTTCACTTGGAGGGTGTTTCCCCTGTAGCATCTGGGACTGAGCAGCTCCAAGCAGAGTTCATGCCCCCATGACTTGTTGGGGACTTCAGTAGATCTTGGTTCCATTTATGTGATTTGGACTGATTAGGCAGGGGTAGGCTTGGGATAAGAAAATAGGCATGGTATAACAAAGCACTTGAGTATGTTCCTGAAGTTAAGCAGGCACTGAAGTTGACCACACTTTAAGTGCTTGATGAATCAACCCCCCACCTCAAAGAGGCGCAATGACTTGCTCCAAGTCAGGTGGCAGCCTGAGACTACAATTTGGGTAAAGTGGAACATTTCATTTCTTTACAGCATCCGCACTCTGCAAGATTATCTGCAGGATATACACCCCCTGAAGTTCTGCTCAATACGTTAGTTGTTTACGCCTCATACCCAACAGCTTCCACAATCTTAACTCGAGTAATGCACAACTCAATTGTATTGGCCTTTATCAAAACATTATCTAAATTATCTGGCCGCTGTTGAAGAATAGCTTAAAATTCAAATTAACAAAAGAACTAAGTTTAACTTTACATGTAAAAAGGGTAAGTGTCCAAAAGCTTGCAAGGAACTTTTTTCCAACTACTCAGTTGGGCTAATAAAAGATACCACATCTACCCAAAGATCCTTGCCGGCAAGTAAAAGTTTCATTTCAGTGCAGATAGGGCTGGTAGCTGAAGACACAACTTGGAAAGAGGGTACAAAACTCTGAGACATGGAAGAATGTCAGAGCCTTCTCAGTCTTCGAGCGAGGCAGAAAACAAGCTATTCTACTAAGATTGGATCAATCTTTTCTTGGACAAGATCAGACTCCAACGAAAGGGATGAATCTAAGGCACCTTGAGATTGGCTGAAAGGTGGTACTGTGTTGTTGTCGTTGTTACAAGGGTGAAACCTATGGCCCACTGGGTTACCAAGCCTTTGGCATTGGTTAGATTTGAACTGCTTATTTTTGTGCGTGTATGTGTGTTCCAGCAACTGGCTCTTTCGGAGAAATTTGTGGCCACACAACGAGCAACTGATTTTTCTCTTTCTTGTAAAAGAAAAGTTACAGTTTAACTCCACAGGCTCATTGTCTTTGGAAATTAGTGACAACTGGCTAATTTGTAATGGCTCTGCGTGGCTACGGTTTGGATGTTTCAACTGGTGCTCACTCTCTTTTATTAGAAAGGTACCAAGCCTATGGCTTTCAAGAGCCTCCCGGTTCTCCGTAACAGGCTGCACTTCACCGAGGTCATTGCTTTCGAGGATGGAAGCTGGGACACTGAAGGGAAGAGACCCCGACATGGGAATACACAAGTGTTCCCGCAGATTGTCATGCGAATCAAAACACTCCCCACAGTACTGACATAAATGCATTTTGAGGTTTGTTTTAGATAACGTAGGACCTGCAACATCTGGACGGGGGGATACACGACTCTGGGACTCCATCAGCTCAGGGTCGTATTTCTCCTGCTTTACAGACACCAATACTTTTGGAAACTCCTCCACCAGTTTGACAGCTTCAGGTGCTTGAACGGAAGGATGGGTAATTTCTTGTTCTAGGGTGCCATCATCCAGTCCAATGGCAAGGGAGAGTTGTAACTGTGGGGGGTCACCCTGGGCAGCAGACCTGTTTCCAGTGTTTGTTGCAATTTCTTTCCCTGCAAGACCTTTCTTGGCTGTTTTGTGCACAGTCGAGATCTGAATTCCATATAGGTTTGAAGACTTCTCGGCCTCTGGGGAAAACACCCGATTCATTTCAACTGTGATACGGGAAAGGTAGTCTGCATGAAGAAATCGAATGCCCTCCTCCAGTTGGCTGTGACTCACGCTCTGCTTTGGCCCTTTCCCAGTGTACATGATGTGCAACAAGTAGCTGAATATGTCTGGCTGGATATCTGTAGGCTGAATCTTTATGCAGTCACTGCTTAAAATAATACTCATAATTAAATGCATGCATTTCTCCAAATGCTAGTCCTGTTCCAGCATCTAAGCAATCATAGGACCTATTATTTGTCTTTTCCAGCTTCAAAATCAATCTAACATTATACCCAAGATCTGCAGAACTATTCATGTCTCGTTTGGATAAAGAAGCGCATGAAATGGTAGTGGCTGTGCTCACAACCCTAGAAAGTGTGTGTGTGTGTGTGTGTGTGTGTGTGTGTGTGT